CACTCTGTCACTACACCCACATATTGTCCGTCCACTCTGACCTTAACACCTCCGGGGATGGGAGCCTGCTGCCCACTCTCCATTCTGCATGGGAGTTTCACCTGGGGACAGTGAGGCAAGAGGAAGTCCTGTCTCATGCTGGGTCCCAGGATCCTGGGGTTTCGAGACCTGAGGCTCCATCCTCAGACAGCCTGTGAAGAGCACCTGAGAACAGGGTACAGGGAGCTGTAAAGGTTGAGACCACAGGAAGGACAGCTGGGTCCTGCTCAGACTCTGGCCTGAGAAGTTTGGAACTAAGACTTTATGTCTGCAGGTTCTAATAGACACTTGGGTTTTTATCTTATTTTATTTTTTGGTGGTACCGGGAATCGAACTCATGACCTCATGCTTGCAAGGCAAGCGCTGTGCCACTGAGCTACGTCCCCAGCCCCTTGGGTTTTTATTAATAGAGGTCAGTTGATCAAATATTGAAATGTACCCCTATTACAAGTATAACTTGATGACTTTTCACAAATTATATACACATGTAAATCCATGACCCAATCAAGATATAGGCCACTTGGTCACTGGGAAGCCCCTCATGCCCTCTCTTCTCCCTTAGGCTGTACCTGGCTGGAGCAGCCATGGTCCTGGGATCGTGAATTCCTCTGTGCCTGGCTTGATTCACTCATTATGTTTGTAAGGTCACCCACACTGTTAGCGTCCTGCTGGCCCACTCTTCACATAGTTTAGGTTTGCATCACGTGACCACACTGAGAAGTAGTAGGTCTTTTCCTGTCTCAGCATGTGTCTGCCCGACCGCCCTCTGCCTCCTTTGAGGGTAGGACAGATTGTATACATGTGTGGCTGTATGTGGGGCCACTTGGGTGCTCCAGGATGATCTTCCTACCTTAGCACCCTTAATCAGTCTGCAAAGATCTTTCCACAGGATCCCAGAGTCATGGATGACTTTCAGGGGATGTGTCCATTTACCACACTGGCCATGGCTGGAGACCTTTGCCTTGTCATGGGCCTCTCCGCAGGCTGCTTGAGTGTCCTCACAGCACGGCAGCTGGTGTTTTCCTTGCTCCCCAACCTGACGCCTGGTTGGGAAGGCTGAACAAGCTAGGGATGGGGACAGGAGGGGGCCTCAGCCCCTCTGCTTCTGAGAGGTTTCCCCACAAGATCTTCGGCTCCTTGCCTCTGGCATGGCGGGTCACGGTCCAAAACTCATAGGTCCTGACACAGCCACATGGCACTGGCTCACCTTTCACGGCTTTGGGAGCCACATGGCAGTGCCTCCCCTCCACAGTGAGTTTTAGAAGCCAGTCGCTGGGTCGTTGCCTCTTCGATGTAGGGAATTGCACTCCCCAGTTTAGATGTAAGGGCTTGAGTGTACGTCCTCAGCCAGCTCACTGGAAACAAAACCCCCTTCTGGCTTTGTGTGATCGAAATGTTGTTTCATTTTTTTTTGAATATTTTTGAGACAGGGTCTTGCTATGCAGTTCAGGCTGGGCTTGAACTCTCAGCAATCCTCCTGCCTCAGCCTTCTAAGTGCTGGGATTACAGGTGTGCACCACCACACCTAGCTAGCTTCACTTTGTTTTTAAAGGATATATTCACTGGGAAAGAATTTTGGCTTGAGTTTGTTGTAGCACTTTCAAATATTTTGTTCTGGTATCTTTGAATCTGCATCATTTCTCGTGGAGTGTCAGTGCTTTGGCTTCTCTTTTGTCCTCTCATCTTCCTTTACATGATGTGCCCTCCTCGTCCCACCCCTCCTCAGATTTGGCTGCTTATAAAGTATCTTTATCTTTCATTTCCAGCAGTTTGGTATGATGAATTTAAGTGTGGTTTTCTTTTTCCTATTCAGCTGATGTTCTGTGATCTATAATTTCTAGATTTCCATGTGTGACTTGTGGATTGATGTTTTTCACTCAATTTGCAAAAAGACGCAGACATTATTTCTTCAAATATCCTTTTCTGTCCCGTTCTCTCTTCCCTCTTCTTTGGGTCTCCGAATAAATTTGCATTAGACCACCTGACCTTGCTTCATAGATTCCTGTGGCTCTGGTCATTTTTTAAAAAAATATAACATCCTACATAGGCTGGGCCTGGTGGCACACACCTGTAATCCCAGGACCCTGGAAGCTGAGGCAGGAAGATTGCCACAAGTCTGAGTCCAGCCTGGGACTACATAGTGAGTTTAAGTCCAGCCTGAATTACAGAGTGAGACCCTGTCTGAAAATACCAAAATAAATATTTAGAATATATAGCATCTTTATTGAGCTATACCTCACATGTCATACAATTCACCCATTTAAACTATGCTATTTAGTTATTTTTAGTATATTTGCAGAACTGTGCAACCATCATAAACCCTATTTTATTTTATTTTATTTTATTTTACTTTATTTTTGCAGTGCTGAGCATGGAACTCTGCACCTCACACACGTTAGGCAAATACTCTACCCCTGAGCTACACTCCAGGTTCCTATGACCTATTTTAGAACATTTTCCTCCTTCCCTAAAGAAACCCCACACTCATTAGCAGTTACTTCCCATTTCTCCTCAGTGTCCCTGGCCCTAGCAGACTACAGCTCATTTTCTGTCTCTGTAGATTCACCTCCTCTGCACATTTGTCTACACGGGCTGACATATTGTCACTCTGGCTGGCTTTCTCCACTTGGTGAATGTGTCCACAGCTCACGCACACTGTAGTGTGGATCTGTGCTTCATCCCTTTACTGGCGGGATAATATCCTATCTGTTAACCTGCTGGTCCACTGGTGGACACTTAAGTTGCTTTTGCTTTGGCTCTTATAGACTATGCTACTACGAATACTTAGATGTGGCAACGTCTGTTTTTGTTTTCCCTATGTGCGCGCCTGGGAGTGTGATTGCTGGGTCATACACTCAATGCTTACCTCTGAGGTGCTGCCAGACAGCTGCACTCCCACTAGCAGTGAACGAGTTCCACGCTCTTCTCGCCTCTGCCAGCGCTGTTATCCCCAATTGCCGCAATCCTAGCAGATGTGAAGCGTTATTGTTTTCTTGATTTCTGTTTCCTGATGGCTGAGGGTGTTGGACAACGTTTAAAGTGCTTGTTGCCCGTCTGTATCCCCCTCTTTATCTTCATGGGTCCCTCCTCTCTCCCCGAGGCTGGGGTGGTGGCTCTCGGTGGCCTCCGTGCATCTTTGTGGTTGACCTTCAACCCCAGGGTCTCTAAGCCACATGCAGTGTGCTCACCTCTACCCCTGTGGCCCACAGAACACTTGGCCCACAGGAGGTGGAAAATTGGTATGCGTGGCGGGAAGGAGGAACTTCTGGCGGCTGTCAGTGTTTGAGGCAGGGAACTCTAGAAATAATCATTAGTTCATATTTCCTAGCAGATAAGTATGTGTGAAAAAGCAATACCCCGAAGGCTCAGTGCCCCAGAGGGAATCAGCCAAGGCAGTGTTGGGACAGCTTTCTGGAGGAGGAAGACGTAGGCCTCTACCCATGCCGGTCAGCCGGTGGGCTCTGTAGGGAGATGGAAAGAAGATCCCATGTTTCCTAAGTCCTACAATTTGGAAACTACACTGGGAATGTCCATCAACACACCCAGGGGACTGGCAATCAGCATGGGATTCCTGGTAGCCCCGAAGTGAAGACATTTCCGCTGCCATTGCCTGCCACAGCCAGCGCCAGTGCTAGGTCCAGTCATGAATGCTGCTCAGCACTTATCAGAGATGCAGAAGGAGGAGGGGCGGGCAGGGAGCGATCTCGCCAGGGCTGGCATCATTCATTAAGGTGGGGCTTCAAGGCCCCGTAGGAGTCAGAAGCAGCGAGGGGCCTGTGGGTGCAGAATGCACAGCTGGGGTGAGAGTGGGCTCCTACAGCTTTTGAGGCCTCAGAACCAGCACTTCAGGACAGAACCCCGAGACATCTGGAGGTGGCAGTGGGCAGGGAAAGGCTTTTATACTGGAACTGGGTGAGGGGCAGGATTCCCTCAGAGTTGGGGTGCTGGCATTGCCCACCTCCCAGGTTGGAATGACAATCGGCTGTCATCTGCCGTCAGACCCAGGGGCATCACCCCTGTCTACAGGGTAGCCTCTGTCCTGCTCCTTGGCTTCAGACCCAGGCTCAAAGGCAGGGTGTGGCTCAGGGGTGCTTGCTTGTCTGGCATGCACAAGGGTTCCATCCCCAGGCCCCAGAAAAAAAATGAAGGGCTCAAAATTCCTCCCTAACAGCAGGCGGCCTCCACAGCAGCCTTCATTTTCTTGCCTCAGCCAATCCCACTTTCCCTCAAGGCAGTTTGGGACCCAATTGGAGTTGTGACTTGCGAGTGATAATTAAAGAGAGAGAGAGACAGAGACAGAGAGAGGCAAACTCCCAGGGGGATAGGGGACAGGTACCCAGGGCCACCCACAGGTGGGCAGAAGGGACATGAGATATAGGGTGGGTGGGAAGGGGCCCTCCAGGGAGCAAAGCCCCAAGATTTAGAAGATGCTAGTGGGCTCAGCCGCTGCCACAAGCCTGCTAGTGCCTGGAGCACAGGAGGAAGGGGTGTGGGGATCCAAGGGTCACCTCGGATCCAAGGGTCCACAGTTTAACACTGAGCAAAGCTGGAGTTCTCTGGGATGCCTCTGGAAAGTGGGATTCTAATGAAATGCATGGCAGGGCGCTAGGAGCCATACACTTGACATGGTGTGTGTGTGTATGTGTATATGTGTTAAGTGAACTAAAAACAATGTTCACAAAATCCGGCCTCCCACCCAGCCCCAGGCCAGCTGGCTCCCAGGTGCAAGGCCAGCAGTGGCAGCAATCGTCCCTGAGGCTGTAGGGATGACAGCCAGCAAGCCGCCTCTCCTACCGAACCAGCAGGTCCCTATCCTGCCTCCCGCCCTATTATGTAAGAGCCCACGGGTGGGCAGCTGGGACTGGTGCCAGGTGGGTCAGAGGTACCTAGGGCCACACCTTGCCAGCAGCCCCAGGCAGGCTGGGGCGGGTCCCCACTTGTGCCCAGCCTCCCTCTCGTCACCTGGTACCTGGGGCACCGCGCTGCTCCCAGCCTCATCATGCCTTAGCTGCAGGAGCGAGGGGTGCTGAGCCAGGAGCTCACCAGCCACAGGCAGGGGCCAGCCAGACCCTCCCCGGCAGGACCCCTGTCATGAGTCTCCTGTGGGGGACAGCAAGCTGGGCATCAGGAGCAGGAGAGAGCAGCCAGAGGCCTGGTCTGTGAGGTGAGGCTGCCCCTAAGCCCACAGAGAAGGGGGAGGGGAGTGGAGTCTGCCAGGCGAGGTTGTGGGGGATCAGTGGGGAATCCGACTACACTGTTGTGGTGGGGAGCAGTGCTATGAGGGGGACTGTGGCCAGGACAATGGGGTCTGGAGCAGAAAAACTGCTTCTCTTTGGGGCTTGGGATGGGTATCCAGGCAACGCCTTGCGTGGAGCATACACCTGGCGTGGGGGACAGGTCTCCCTTTGCGCCCGCAGAGAGGTGAGGGCTGGGAGCAGGGAGGCCTGAAGCTGTGGTCACGTATTTGATGTATTTGTTCATCCTGGTGAGCGACAGCCCTGAGGAGAGCCCAGAGCCCCGACGAAACAGATGCGTATTAGTCTCAATCTGATTGTCGGGGCCAACGCACGGGTTTACAGAGCAAGAAATCAGTCAGGTGCCCGCCCAGGGGCCATGAGTCAGCCCGAAAGCAGGGTGATGCCCGCACCCTGGGGCCGGCTGTGACTCACCCATGTCTCTGTTGCAGGGCAGTGTGGCCTCGCTGCTCACTGGGGCTGCTGTGGCTCTCCAGGGACGGTGACTCGCGTGCTCCCCGAGGCCCTCACTCTCTCCCTGGTGAGCTCTCGGGGTGCAGCCACCTGCAGGGACCATGCCCGAGGTGCTTCTGCTCAGGCCCGCCAGCCTCTTCCTCAGGACCGTGTAAGAACCAGGGCCCCACGTCTCCCGGGGGAGTACTGAGCACAGCACCCAGACCCTCAGACTTGGGTATGGGGTTTCTTGCCCTGCTCTGTCATTCCCCTAGTCTCCCTCAAGAGTCTTCTTATTCCTCAAAAGGCAGCCCAGCAGCTGTAATGACAGGAGCTGACCCTGCACTAAGCACTGCTCGCTTGTCATCTTCTCAGAGAGCCCAGCAGCGAGGCCGGAGCCAGGGTTCACAGAGGCATGGTGACCCAGCTGGTCACACAGCCAGTTAGTCGCACTCAGGGAGGCAGACTCCAGAGAGCCTCAGTGCCAGGCTGGTCACGGAAACATCCACTGAGCAGCTGCTCCATGCTGATCAGTGTGACAGCTGCCAGGATGGCAGGGAAAGAAGCGACAGAAATATACAGGAAGGGGACCCTCTTCCAGGAGGCAAAAAAGAGCCCTCTCCTCCACTCATGTGTCACAGCGTGACACCCAGAGAAGCAGCCACTGCAACAGTGAGGACAGGACTGAATAAAGCTCCCCAGGGGCTGGGGATTTAGTTCAGCAGCACAGCGCCTGCCTTGCAAGCGCAAGGTCATGAGTTTGATTCCCAATACCGGAAAACAAAACAAAACAAAAAAAACCAAACAAGTTCCCCAGAGCTGCCTGAACCTCAGGCAGCCTTCAGAACCCCCACCTAAGTATTCAAGTGTCAGGGAAATCCAGGAGGGCTTCCTGACAGAGGGGTGGAGGAAGCTGGGAAGGCTGTGGCCCACAGGAGAGGAGAGGCCAGTTGGTGGGAAGATGGCTCACAGAAAGATGGGGTGCAGGCCTCCCACAGCCCGGCCTCCCACCCCACCATGCCAGGTGCCTCAAGCAGGGCTTGGCTTTCTTGCTGCTGGGAGGCCCTGGAGCGATGGGGTTGACTTGTTTCTGTGGAGGAGAATAAGGTGAGGACATGCTCCCACTCTCCTATGAGTTGGGGTGAAGTGAAGGGGGCCTCCTTTCAGGGCCTCCCTCCTCCCAGGAGTTCAGAGCAGAAGCAGTCTGCTGTCACTTTATTACTTGGGGTGCCATCCTCCTCTGGGACACCTGCCAGCTTTTGGGGAACACCGCATTCCAGGTGCATAATTTTCCTGATTGACAGGAATGAAATGTTAATCCCTTTGAGAGGCTCATTATGGTCACAAAGACAGGAATCTCACCTCACCTGCTGGGGTCATTTATGGGCCTCTGCTTCCGGCATCCATATCCGCATTGATCACAGCAGAGTGGGGTTGTGAGGACCCGGATGGGTTTGGTTCCTTTCTGGACATCTCCAACCTCGCCTAGCATTTTAACAAGCTTGGCCACCCTGTTTCTTATTCTGCTTCAAAAAAACAAACTGCAAGGCGTTGGAGACGAGTGCTAGAAGTAGCACACCTGCAGCAAGGTCTCTGGTAAAGTCAGAAAGGAATAAAAACTGAAGCAGCCTCTCCCACAGCCGTGACAAAGTGTAAGGCGATCACCCGGTTGAGGAGGGACAGGAGATTTCAGCTGTAATGTGGTTTGGATTAGCACTTTCTAATTCAGGTGACATCTCCTTACAGGGACTTGGCCACAAAGGCTCTAGCAAGGGGAAGAGCGAGCTTCATTTAGGAAATTTGGTTTTGACCTTCTCTTAATCAGGTGCCCCCAATTCTTTAGGCAGTGGGTGCAGAGTTAGGACCAACTGCAGGGATAAGTGAGGAGTCCCTGTTATGACAAGTACTGAGGAAGCAGGGTTTCCCCCCTTTCTGGAAAGAGGGAGACAGCAGAGCTCAGCTGCTGGGCAGGAACCATGTCCAGGAAATGCTTCTACCGCCAGCCCCATAAACAGGTTACGAACCCTAATCACTGAGGTGTGTGAGCTTGGCCCGAGCTTCCTGGCTTCCTGGCTTCCTCCGTGGCTGTCTTCATATTCGCTCTCTGTTTAGCTATTTGAAAACCAGAGCCAGTTGACACAAAGTTAATTAGGTGGGGAAATGCTGTCTTACCTTTCATGGAGAGGATTTACAAACAGCTTTGTTTGTAGGAGGCAGTTAAGATGGAGGAGATTACAGTCTGGATAATTTGGGGGTGGCTCCCAGTTGATGGCTGATGGCTCTGAGCCTAAGGTTCACCTGGCTGTGTCTTGGAGGACCCAGGCTGAGCATGCGCCAGGACTCTAACGATGGTCAGGGTCCTTCCTGGAGTGCACAGTCCTTTGTCACCTCGTTTCCAGAGCTCATTGTCGTATGGTAACATTACAGTCTTCTTTGTCCCAAGGTAGGGACAGCTTCTACCTGACAGTCCTGGGAGGCAGTGGTGCTACTCAGTGACCCAGAGTCTGCAGGTTCCATAGCTCAGAACCCTCCCATTGCAGCAGGCCCCAGATGCATATTTTGCTCATCTTCCCCTGCCAAAGATGCAGGTTTCCATGGCAACAGAGGGGCTGTCCAGCCCTGTGGTCCAGGCCAGAGGGGGCTGGTTCAGTCCCCACATAACCCCCTTCCACTCTCTTCATCACCTCCTGATGTCTTTTGCTTTAAAACCTATCCCAGGTTCTTAAGCAGACTGCTGCCAGGTGGGCCTGGGCCTAGGTGTGTTCGAAAACTTAGTTTGAACCTGCAGTACCAGCAAGGAATAAGGCCGAATGTTCGAAGCAGGTAATTGGCCCGGCCACCTGGGAAGTGGGCAGGGAAAGGGCCACCTCCTCCCTGACAGACAGGTGGGACTCCCTGGAGCCCGGGGCTGCCATGACCAGCTGCCCAGTTACCCACCACAGAACTCCAGTGGGCTGTTTACATGGCCAATGACTATGTATGTGTCCTCGGAGTTGTGCAAGCTTGAGGCCTGGTGCAGTCCTGAGGTGTGTACTGAAAACAACCACTCACCACCCAGGAGGCTCAGGTGTGGCCAGGTAAAACCCTGAGGTGCTGAGGACAGTGAGGTTGAGGTGCTGATGGATATCCGGGAGCACTGGGAGGATGTCCGGCAGCACTGGAAGGGAGCAGGATCTGGGGCAGAGGTGAAGGGCTGAGCCTGTTTAGACACAGGGTGCAGCCCAGGCAGTGTCCAAGAGGCTTCCACTAGGGGCTGCATGGGATCCCCAAGAGCCCTCAGTGGGATCCCAGCTCCAGTCTGAGTTTCCCAGCATGGCCTGGATGAATAGGCATGGGGAGTCAGGAGGGGCTTTTCAAACCCCAAAGCCTTCATACCCCTTGGTGGGGCTCAGAGTCCCTATTGGCACACCCAATGCCGTCCTTGTCCCAATGGAAGTGCTGGGCTCAGAGATGGGCATGGACTTGCCCAGGGCCACACAGTAAGCCAAGTGTAGCAGATCTGATTTCCTTCCCCAGGAACCCCTAAAGTCTGCGGGAGGCTGGGACAGGGTTGGATTGGCCCTGAAAAACCCGACGTCCTGACCCCTGACACTCTGTGGATGCCCTGGGCTTCGCAGGAGGCAGTGATGCCAGTGTTACCCTGGGGTGCTGAGTTGCCTGCTGGGCCAGCATATTCCAACTGTGTTGTCTACCATCTCTGCCAGCTCCCAAACTGATGCGCAGACGTGCTCCAAAGAGTCCTTGAGCCATGTTCTCCAGCTCTCGGCCCCAGAAAAGCCTCAGGATGTGCAGCTGGACTGTCCAGGTAAGCAGTGGGGCTGTGGGGTGTGCAAGACTGGGTCAGCATGTGGAGCTGTGCCAGATGCGGGGGTGGCACTTGGGTCATAGTGCAGAACCCTGCGACCTCTGTGGAGATCCTGATGCTCTCCAGCTCCGAAAGGTGCTGTCTGCTTTCCCTCTTGGCCACCATGGATACCATCAGGGCCAGGAGTGCCAAAGACAGTGGGGAAGAGTTTAGGAAGTTTGGGAAAGCACAAGGCTAGAGATGGGGAGTTGATTGGACCCCATACCAACGAGGCCCCTGTGCTCACTGGGTTGGCCTTGGGTGTGTTGGCCGTGGCACCTGGGCACAGGGCAGAGGCGGTGAGGCTGTGGGGTTTATCTTGGAGGCGAGAGACTCACGAGCTCTCAAGTGACCTTCCACTCAGATAATGCATATCTGAGAATACAGAGCTATCAGAAGCACAACGATAATAATAACAATGAACGTTTGTTCACTTGCATTGGCTGCAGAGCAATAGTGTAGCACAGTGTAAAAAAAGAAAGTGACAACAGTGGCTCAGAGGGCCACTGCCCCCACTATGGGTGCTACCTGTGGACCTCACTCTGCCCCTACTCGGGTACCTCTGGGGTGCCCTTTCATTGATCTTCCTGTCTGTGATATCCCACCTTAGTGGAATCCCCAGGGCCACCTGCTCCTAGGCCTCTGGGTGGGAGTGGTGGGAGGAAGCCGGTTGCCTTTGTGTGGCTGTGTGTAAGCTGGCCGGGTATTCTACAGGATGGCCTTCTGGGTATTTTACAGGATGGCCTTCTGGGTGTCTGGTAGGATGACCTTCTGGGTATCATATAGGATAACCTCCAGCATCTTATGGTATAGCCTCCTATATTGTATATGATGGCCTTTGTTTGGCTATACCTGTGTTTCCCTCGCATTTAGGGGCTGTGTGTCTGGGAAAGTGGGTGATTATGTCTGCAGTGAGACTAGCTGAGGAAGCAGCAGCAAAGGGGATGAGGTCAGAACGGGGCACATGCTTTGAGTTCCCTTTCCTTGGGGTTTCTTCTGACTGGGCTTTCCTGGGTTCCAGTGGACAAGGACAGGGCCAGAATTTCTCTGGTCTGTTCAAGCATTGTCCCAGGTCACTATGCCCATTCTCAGTGGGAAACTGAGGCACAAGAGAGCTTCAGGATGAGAGGAGATGCAGTCAGGGCTCAGGCACAGCATTCCTAGGCTGCAGGGCTCCCTGGAGACCAAATGCCAGGCCCCCAACCCCTAGGCTCACTGCTGCCCCCAGACAAGCTGCCCCAGGCTGGCCTTGGCAGGAGTCTGGCCTGGGGGCCTCTCCTGCCCTCCTCAGGAGACAGAGGGAAGAGCCGGGCCAGAGAGCACCTCTGGCCTTAGAGAATGGTTTGAACGAAGCAGCCCCACACTCATCGCTCTGACCAAGGTGCCCCAGCAACTTTGGCCCCTAGGGCTCAGTCCCTGGCTAGCCAGTGGCTTCCCTGAGAGGCTCAAATGGCAACATCAGCACCTGCAGACCTGGGTACAGCAGAGCCCTGGGCAGGAAGGCTGAGCCTGGATGTGACATTGTCCCACCTCTCCATTTAAGGCCCTGTGGCCCACAGCTACTTGACCTCAGTCACCATCACCCAGAAGTGTGGACAGGAGCAGGCACAGACGCAGGGATAGGAACCGACAGGGTCCACCAGAGCAGGGCTCGTCAGAGGGCCTGGGGTAGTATCCCCTGTGCAAGTGAAAACCAGCCAGGGCAGGTGGAGGAGGGGTTGGGGCTGGGTGGGCTCCTGCAGGGGAGATAGTAGACATGTAGACCTAGTTTATCAGGATGCAGGGAGCTGCAGGGCCACTCGCTGGACCCACAGGAAATGCACCAGGACCTTCCACCTGTGTCCTGGGGGTGGGATGCTGAGACATATGACCCTATTCCTGCCCTCCAGAAGCTTCCAGTCTGCAGGTGAATGGGCACTGGGCAAGGGCAGGGGCATAGACAGGTGAAGGAGGGAGGCCTACTCACTAACACCTGTTTTAGGATGGGCTCCCTGGATGAAGGGGGACCCCCTGCTGCCCTTTGGACCTTGGACCCCCAGCCTGGGTATGAAATGAATGGTCCGCCCTTGAGAACTCCCCACCCAAGGCTGGTGATGAGAAGGAAGGATGCTGCTAGAGGAGGTGACTTGGAGCAGTGACAGCAGGGAGCTCTTTTGCAAAGCCTTTTCCTGAGACAGAAAAGGCTGCTCCCCCAGGAGGACTGGGGGCACCTGTGAGGTTGCAAGGGCTGACAGTCCCCCCCATCGGGTTCCCTTGCAAAGAGCACTGCACTGTCACTACGGCTGTGCCTCAGGCTAAAGGACTTCTGTGGATTCTCTCATGTCTCTTCACAGAAGCCGGGAGGAAGGCACGTTTGTTTCTTCCATTTGAGAGAGGAACAGAGTTCTGGGAGGTCATAATCATCTTTGAATCACATAGCCCCTGAGAAGTAGCTCTCTTTAACTGACTCTCCTGACTCCATGGGACCTGGGCTGTGTTGTCACAGTAGGGTCCGCTGTAGGTCTGGACAGCCCCAGCCTCCTCCCTACCTGCAGGAATGGGGGTTCACCCGGCAATCCTCAGAAGTTGCCTGGTTCCCCGAGCCTGTATCCTGTGCAGCCCAAGCTGGAGAAGGAAGGCTGGGGAGTAGCCTTGGGCAGAGCTGATGGAGGTGCAGGCTAGGGCCAGCCTCACACCACACTCCCAGGAGCCTCATACCCCTGGGAGCTCAGAGCTAGAGACCGATGTATTCACTGGCTGCTGCTGTCTCTTGTGTCTGTCCTCAGAGGTCCCAGGGCATATGTGGTGTCCGGGCTGCAGGGGAGGAGCAGGAACCCCCAATCCCAGGGAGCTCAGTGTGAGGCTCAGGCCAGAAGTGGGCCAAGGGACAGTGCCAGGCAGAGGGTGCCCTGTCCCTTCTGCCTCTGTAGCATGGGGCTGGAAACATTGAAGGTGGCTTCTCACCTGTGCAGTGGGACAGATGCAGAAAGGGGGGCTCCTGGGGTCAAGACCTCCCCATCTAGACATCACAGCTCTTGCCTCGTATCTTTTCCTGCTGTCTGCTGTCCCCTTGGAGCCCGCCTGTATAGGATAGGTGTGGCTGTGCCTCCCGTCTCCCCAGCAGTGGGGACTCTGCTGCCTCCTGTTTGTCCCCTGTGCAACCACACAGGCCGCTAGAGCCCTCTCTTTGCCCTGCTCAGCCTGGACAGGTGGGATCTTGGGTGCAGATCCCAGAGTTAGGATAGTGACCTAGAGGGGCCCTAACAATCATCTTGTCCATCTGCATTGCAATTTGGGGGCACTGCCATAGTAACCTGGGCACCAGCTCGTCCTCATGAGAATGCTAGGCAGTAGCTGGCAGCCTCAGGGTTCTCTCAATTGGGCACTGAGGAATGAGCCGCTGACCCATTGGCCAGTATGCTCCGTGCCGCTTTGCCAAGGCACCTACGGCCGGCCGGTCTGTCTGGGGTGACCTGACCTTATCTCTGTCTCATCCTGAGGCCAATGCTGTCCCCTTCTTTCTGTGTCCTCCAGAGTGCTTGGCATGGGCCAACAAGATGCCACAGCCCTTGCACAGACTCCTGTGCGGGTAGAGGCCCTGCGGAGCCCACGCCCTGGAGAGATCTGTGCCGCTTTGTCTTGTCCCAGCGTCTGCACAGTGCACTGTGTTCCCACCCCCGCGGCCTTTCCCACAGCCTGCAGAAAAGGCCCGTGCTGCCCCCACTCTGCTCTGGCATTTTTCTCTTTCCCAGAAAACAGAGTGACTTCCTCTGCTGTTTGGATGCCCTAACCCCAGAGCCCTGGCGAGCACGCTCGTGCTTCCCAGCACCCCCAGCATAATGGGCAGATTGATAAGACCCAGGCTGGTTGGCTGGGAGAGGGAGTGGGTAGTGGGGAGGGCAGAGAGCACCAGCCAGCAGGGGAGGCCGCCCCACGCTTGGGGACTGGTTCTGTATGCCAGCTCTCACATTGGTTCAGGCTGCCGGGCATGGTCCTCGGTTGGTTGAGCTGTAGATTTCATTGTCGATTGCTGTGTTGGGTTAGCCCTGTTGGGTTAGGGGTGCTTTGCTGGGTGATGGGAACCTGGGTGGGTCCTGGCCGCGTTTTTCTATGACAGCAGTGATCTTGGTGTGGGTGTGGGACAGAGGATGGCTGTGACCCAACTGAACTGGAGGGGGAGAAAGGTACTTACTCCTTGAAGAACTGGAAACCCAGCCTGGTTTCTGTTATCTCTCCACCATAGCAGACCCCAGACCCAGAGGCCAAGAGGGGCCACAGACCTGGGCCAGCTCATGACCCTCCTACCAGGCAGCCATTGTGACAGTAAAAGAACATGTAATGACTAAGGAAATGGTCACAGAAGGACCTGAAGTGGAAAAGGGACAAATAAAAGTGCATATAAATGGTGCTGACAAAAGCAAAAGAATGAAACAGTGTTGCTGAAGCCTTAGCAGATTGCGGGAGCCCAAGACACTGCTCTCTGCTCTTTCTAAATAGACTCTGGGCTTCTGTGCAAGCTCTGGGCTTTGCAGAATCAGTAAAATGAACCCTGGGTTGTCCTTGAGGAGTGGCTGCTTGGAACCCATGACCCAGCCCCACCATCGTGCATCCTACCCGTCACCCCCTGTTGAACACTGGGACCTTTCCTGACAGAGCTGTAAAGACACCACATTCATATTCTCTCTGTCCTTGTCACCCTGGTCTAACTTCTTAAAGCGTGATGACTGGCTCCCGGGATAGTCCTTTTCCAAGCCCGATGGCAGGCACTGCCAACCCCAAGAAAGCTGTTGATCAGTGCATGCCCCAGCTTGCACAGCTTCTGCCTCTGGTAAGATGGCCTGTCTGCCTGGCTGGTCTATGCTACTTCTGTTTCTCCCCTTGGGAGAAGGCTGAGGAGGCCAGCAGGTGGGTTCTGGTGGCTTTAGGAAAAGGAGGCTGTGAGGACAGGCAGGGAGGGAAAGAAGCAGAGAACGAGGCTGAGGGATGGAGGAAGTGGAACTGAGTGGCTCTCTGCTTGGTGACACTGTTCCAAGTCAGCTCCTTTCTTGCTACCCCTGCTTGTCACCACTCTGCCACTGGACTGTGATGTGTGCTACTTCATTCTCCAGTGTGGCATCCTAAGTGCTGCAAGAGAAAGGCCCTGGCTGTCCCAGTCCCCACTGCCTGAGCCCTCCAGCAGGGCTGTGTGCCTGGGCTGTGACTTCAGGGCCATGGCAGGGCCTGAAGCTCAGGGTCATTCACGTGCTGAGGCAGCAGGGCCAGCGTCCAAGGCTTAGCACCAGGGACAGGGCCTACTTAGCCAGAACCTGAACCTTGGGCTTGTCCAGAGACCTCTCCATTGTCCCGAGGGGGAGGCTAGAAGAGGATACAGTGTAAACAAGCACTTAGAGGTGGATGTGCACGCACATAGAAGGTGGGGCAGGGGGCCCCCAGGCTGCAAGCCTGCCTGTCATCCCTTTTTCCCCTTCCTCTTCCTCCTCCTCCTCTTCTTCCTCCTCCTCCTCTTCTTCTTCCTTCATTGTTGTTTTAAGTGGTACTGGGGATTGAACCCAGCCCTTTACACCTAGCTCCATCCCCAGCCCATTTTTTTATTTCCATTTTGAGACAGAATGACACTAAGTTACTCCAGCTGGCCTCTGACTTGTGATCCTCCTGCCTCAGCCTCCCACAGTGCTGGGATGACCACACCCAACTTGTCTGACTTTCTTTCAAGTTGAAAGTCCAAGGGTAGGTGGGGCAGCTGGCACTACTGAACTACTGTGGTGACCTCAGGCCAGAGGGACATTAAAAAGGATGCGGCCTGGCTGAGCCATGCAGGATGGGGACTTCACCTGGTGGTCCCCAAGTAGGGCCCATCTCTCTCTGCGCCCAGCAGCAGCATGTCCTGGCTCACTGTCTGGCCGTCCTCTGGGTGAAGGTGAGGGTGGAGAGAGGAAGGCCTGAGTCCTGGGGCTGGGGACGAGAAGGAGCCCACCCCTTCCTGAGTCCCCTGGCCTCTGCTCTGGGCCCAGGGCTTTTATATCACTGGCTTCTAGATTGGTTCTTAGGACAAGTATATTCTTGTCATTTAAAAAGATGATAAACTGGATGTGGTGGCGCACGCCTGTAATCCCAGCACTCGGGAGGCTGAGGCAGGAGGACCCTTGTGAGTTCAAGGCCAGCCTGGGCTACAAAGTGAGCTCAAGACCAGCCTGAACTGCATAGAAAGACCCTGTCTCAAAAAGAAAAAAAAAAAAGGTGATAACTAGCCAGGCATGGTGGCACACGCCTGTAATCCCAGCACTCAGGAGGCTGAGGGCAAGAGGATTGTTGCAAGTTTGATACCAGCCCAGGCTACAAAGTAAGCTCAAGGCCAGCCTGAACTACCTTGTCTCCAAAAAAAAAAAAAAAAAAAAAAAGGATAACTGTGGAGCTAAGGCTTTCAGCCTGAGGGAAGATCTAGCAGTAGTCACAAGACCGAGAGTCACCCCTGCTCCTTTTGGCGCCTGGCACAAGTGAGAGCAGCGAGATATGTGCATCTCCTAGAAGTGTCCAAGGGCAGTGGGAAGGCTCTGTGCCGTGGAGGAGAGAACAGCAGGGGTAGCACGAGGCCTACCAGCTCCCTAGCTGAGACAGGGGCCACCTCCCCGGCCCTGGCACCCCTGGGAGCCCAGCGTTCTTCTGGTGACGTGTAATCCATGCCACTGAACTTACTTTCTAAACGTGCAGTTCAAAGGCTTTCAGCAAACTTCACAATCCAATTTTAAAGTATTTTCATTACTCCCAAAAGGTCACTTGCACCCATTTTTTGGTCCCTGGTGTCTGTTTTGTGGTCACATCCCTGCCCATCCCAGTCCCAGGCAGCCACCAATCTCCGGTCTGTCGTTTCTGGATGCATCGTGTGACTGGAATCATGACACATATGGCCTTTTGCCTCTGGCTTCTGTCACTATGCAGGCTTTGAGCTGTACCCATGTTGTAGCCGGTACCAGCACCTCACTCCTTCCAGGGCAGAACTGTGTTCCATTGTACGGATAATACACCCTTCGCTTTTCCTTCACCATTCTATGGGCTTTTACATTGTTTCCACTTTTTTTTTTCCCTCCTCCTCCTTTCTTTTTAATGGTACTGAGAATTGAACTCAGGACCTTCACACTGAACTACATCTCCAGGCGCTTTTTTATTTTGAGGGTCTCACTAAGTTCTTAAATTGGCTAGACACATTTCAAATTTATGATCCTCCTGCCTCAGCCTCCCAGAGTGCTGAGATTATACCCATGTACTACCACACCTGGCCGTTTCCATTTTTTGACTATTATAAGTAATGCTCTTGTGATCATTTGTAACAAATCTTTGTGGGACCTTTATTTTCTTTTTCCTCGGGTCAGTAGATACGTAGGAGTGCCTTAGCCAGGCGATATGGTAAATCTTCTTAAATTCACTGAGAATTATTAAGCTGTGCATTTCCACAAGCACCATGTGAGGATCCAGCTTCTCCACAACCTCACCCCACACACATTAACATTGTCCAGCAGAGAGGAGAGTGTCAGGGTGGCAGAACCAAGGCCCTGCGCCCAGGCCTCCCTGACTCACAGCCCACCCTCCTTCCACCTTGGCAAGGCAGGGCCTGGACTCAGGTCTACCTGGGCTGGACTCCAGCAGCAGAGAGAGGGGTGATGGAACCGCTCCTGCCTCCCCTGGGGCACTGGCACCAGCGGAGGCCATGGCGGGGACCTTGTCTCTGGAAGGGGGTAGATGGCAGATGGCATGGTCCAGGTTCTGCCCAGGCAGAAGAGGCATAAGGGACTTTCTTTCTGCTCCTGCGCTGGCCTGGCCTGGCCTGGCCTGTGTGTTTTGCAGGCTGCCATGGGCCTGACCGGTCCTGGTTGAGTCCCCTGGACCCTCACACCTGGCCCTGCCCCAGGAACCTGACTCCATCCTGAGAGCTCAGAGTCGGCATGCAGCCTGAGTAGCACAGGGCAGGGATGCGGGCATCCTTTCCGGCCATCTCCCTTAGACCAAGGCCAGTGGGAGCACCCTGATGGCACTACCTCTGAGGCCAGATGGGGCTGGCCAACAGGTGGCAGCACTGCCCCGGGGTCATTGTAGAAGGCCACCCTCACCCAAGGATGAGGAGGGCCCCCCCAGAGCCTGGACCACTCAGACTTCCTTTGTGGGCAACTTGAACTTGGAAAAGGAAGGACATGGGAAAGTGTCCTTCACTGAACACCAGCCGTGTACTGGTTCTTTCCCACACACCATTCCCGCCAGCCCTCACTAATCCTGAGAAATGAATCAGGTTCCCGGTGAAGGTATCTGAACCCTCTGGGCCTGGTGGTCAGTCGTCCCCACCCACTACCCACAGCTTGAGCCACCATCCAAGCTTCAGAGGCCAGGTAGTGCCCTGGATGGTGTCCCAAGTGTGACTGTGGCATCAGGCATCCGTGGTCAAAGTCCTCCTGCCACTCCCTGGTGTGTGGCCCTGGGAAAGGGCTGAGCCTGTCTGAGCCACGCTGCCCATCTGTGAGTGAGCGCTTGACCCAGCTGGTGTAGACTGAGAGCAGGCAGAGGATGAGCCACTGACTGCTGCTCATCCATACTAGAAAGTTTGCAGCCTGGGCCTGGGGTCTGACGGTTTCTGGTGCCGCCAGATCCTTCCAATGTTCTGATCCTCTGCCCCCCTGGGTCTGTCCTCACCTGTTTCCGGGGCAGGAAGACCACACCACAGCTGGGATGAAGCAGGAAAAGTCCCAACCCTCTCTGGCTCCAGGCCAAGCTGACCTCCTCCTCCAGGCACTCTCCAGCCTACCTCAGCCCTGACTGCTTGCCAGCCTGTGGCCCCGTGCCCACCGTGTGTGCAGCAGCAGCAGCAGCAGCAGCAGCAGCAGCAGCAGCAGCAGCAGGGCTCTAAGCTTGCCTGGGTCTCACTTGGTCCCCTGGGGACAGCTGGAGAAGGTGTAACCACGCTGTCCTCTCCCTGCAGAGGGGGCTCTGTGGACGACCAGGGCCGACGGGCGAGTCCGCCTGCGCTTGGACCCCATCTGCTGTCAGCCCCCCTACACTGTGCACCGCATGTTCTACGAGGCCCTGGACAAGTACGGGGACCTCAGTGCTCTGGGCTTCAAGCGCCAGGACAAGTGGGAGCGCATCTCCTACTACCAGTACTACCTGATTGCCCGCAAGGCCGCCAAGGGCTTCTTGAAGGTGAGGCTGAGCCACATCCTCCCTGTCCAAGTCCCATTTCCTGGATGGTCTCCTGTCTCTGCCCCAACTCTCTGCAGGGGAGGCCTTAGAAATGGTGACTTTAACCCACCCCACTTATTGAGCCAATACTGCCTTAGGCTGAGGGTTTACATTTATTGAACCTTTGCCAAGCTCTTGATACCCACGGTCACCTGCTGTCACATTTAAAATGACCAGACTTCTGGGGCCTTGCTGAATCCCCAGGGATTCCTAGGCAGGGTGGAGCCCAGGTGTCCTGCAGGGACCAGGTGTGGAGAGAGACCCCTTCCTTGCCCTTCCCTGGCTGCCTTCACTCACCTGTCTGCCTTTGTCCTGCAGCTTGGCCTGGAGCGAGCCCACAGTGTGGCCATCCTGGGCTTCAACTCCCCTGAGTGGTTCTTCTCTGCAGTGGGCACTGTGTTTGCGGGGTGCGTGACTGGGAGGGGTGGGGCTGGGTGGGCTGGCAGTGGGCAGAGAGCTGGGAGGGTCGTGTTACCCCCCAGTGGCGCTCTCCCTGGAGCTCTCTGGGGAGGGGGTTCAGGGGTAGGTAGGGGTAGGGGTGCCCCTGCACCTGCCCAGGTGTGAGTCCTCCGGGTGTCCTGCAGTGGGATTGTCACCGGCATCTACACTACCAGCTCCCCGGAGGCCTGCCAGTACATTGCCCACGACAGCCGCGCCAACATCATCGTGGTCGACTCACAGAAGCAGCTGGAAAAGATCCTAAAGGTTTGGGGGAGAGGGGCCAGGTGGAGGTGAGGGTAGCTGTCCTCACAAGACCCCTTCTCTAAGGATGTGGGCATCCCCAGCCAGGGCTCCCCTCATCCTAGCAGCAGACCCCATCCTCATCACACGTTGAACCCAGCAGGGTGATGGTTGTCTCCCTTCTGGCAGGTCAGGAAACTGAGGCCTGCATAGCTGAAAGGCTGGGGTCACCGGGTTGGGGCTGGTATTTGTGGCAGCCCACTGCCTCTCATGGCCTCTGGTAGGGAGAGAGTCAAAGCTAGCCCAGGGCTGGGGGCGAGGGGCTAGGTCCACTCATGACCAGATCTGTGAGCAGTAGCTCAGGAACCACCCAAGGCCACTGGAGTCTCTGGGGCCCTCAAATAAGATGACATCTGGGCCATACTAGGTCTTGGGTTGCCTGGGCCTCTGTGTGAGAGAAGTGCTGACAGCTTGGACCAGAGTCTCTGTGGGAAGTGGGAGGAGGGAGTGGTGTGAGAGCTGCCACAGAGCAGGGGAAGCAAGTGCCGAAGACAATGTCCCCACATGCCCACACTGGGTGATGGTGACCTGGTGACACCTCTGGCCCAGCTGCACGCAGCATCTGTCGAGGTCCTCAGGTCTCCCTGCATCCAGAGAAGGCTCCAAGACTGACTTTGGATGCTGAATGCATCCCCTGGGCCTTGGCCTGCCCGTCTGCACCTCAGGGCCAAGGGTCTCCAGCCTCTCATGACCACAGGACCTGGGTCTCCAGATGGCCAGGCCTGGTGTCTCCTACACCTCCCATGATAGAAAGCAGCCAGCTGGGGCTAAGGGTAGCAGGGTCCCCTGTCCGGGCCATGGCCAGGTCTTAGGGCAGGATGTCCAAGCGCACAACTGTGGGCAGAGGGACAAGGCACTGAGAAGCCTGGGCCAAGGACACCAGCACAGGTGGAGAGGGAGGCCCTGAGGACCTCAAAAAAGCTAGGAGGCAGAACATGCCTGTCCCTGAGGGAAGGAACAAGGGCACACATGGCTGTGGCTGACTCCTAAGGGCCGCTGAGGCCAGGCACCATGGGGGGGAACTGAGGGAAGCCCCCTCTGTCTCCAGAGTCTGGCCAGGACTTAGGTCAGCTACCTGAGTACCAGGTCCTCTAAATCAGGGTGGCTTCAGGGAGTGAACCCATGCTGTCTACCAGGACACTGAGCATGGTTAGTGCCCCGCAGCGCCATCTTGAAACTCACTACAAGGCTGGAGCTGGCCCCCACATTGACATCATGCACCCAGCTGGGGCTGCGCCCAGATCCAGGCTCCCAGGGCTGGGAGCTGCAAGTTATCTGCATGCCCTCTAATCTGCCATGTGGTGGGCCTGTCTTTTCTGTCCAGTGGAGGTTTGTTGCGTGGAACTCTTTCTCGTGAGGATTGTCCTGCCTCTTCGTAGTCCCTTCTCTGCCCCACTCCTACCAATCCCTATGCTTGCACGGCTCCCTTCGGATCATCTCCATCCTGTGTGGCTGGGTAAAGGGTTTCATGCTGGGAGAGGATGGATAAGTGTGAATCACACGGCCCAAATGAACTTCTGCAATGAGGACAGCAGAGCGTCCCAGCACCACCCTAGGTTCTTGGGAATGGTTGGCAGAGATCCCCAGTACTGTTGCTCAGGCACCCCAAGACCTAGTGTGGCCCAGATATCATCATATTTTGGGGCCTCAGAGACCCCAGAGGCCTTGGATGGTTCCTGAGCCACTGTTCACAGACTCGGTCACAAGTGGACCGAGCTCCCTGCCCCCAGCCCTGGGCCAGCTTTGACCTGAGGTCTTGGTGGTTTGAGATTTGTCTGAGAGCTATGCTGGCAGGACCTGGGCTGCCACACATGGGACCATTAGTGAGGGAGTCCTGCATTCCTCCAGATTCTCCCTCATACCAGGACCTAAGGAGTGGAGGGCTGGGGAGTTCACAAAGCCCCAGTAGATGCGACACGTTCCTCGAAGCAGGTTGTTAATCTAATTCAAATACCACCTCCTGTCTCCATCTACAGCCAGAGAAACTGAGGCTGAGAGTAGGGAATGACCACTTGGGCCACTATTTAAAATAAATTCTGTACTACAAAGGCTTTTGTTACAAAAACAGATAGAACTACTCCAACCTCACATCTGCATCAGATTCCATCATTGTCAATGCGTTTCTCCGTGCTCAATTCTTCTATCCTTCCATGTGCAGAAGCATTTAAAGGCAAACCTTTGTCTTTCATGCTCCTCTAAAAAATGCAAATTCTTTCTTAAATAATTGTTATAACTTTATCATGAGTAAAATAGTTCTTTTGCATCACCTAATATACACATTTTTTTGTCAATATTTTCACTATAGTAAAACATACATGACATGGGCTGGGCGTGGTGGCACATGCCTGTAATCCCAGCACATGGGAGGCTGAGGCAGGAGGATCATTGCGAGTTTGAGACCAACCTGGGCTACAAAGTGAGCTCAAGGCTAGCCTGAACTGCATAGTGAGACCCTGTCTCAGAAAGACCAAAAAAAGACATGACATGACACCTACCATCTTAATATTTGAATAGTTGTGCGACCCTCGCCACCATCCATTCCCAGAGCTCTGGTCTTGCCAAATTGAAACTCTGTACAGTAAGCAATGACTCCCCGCAAAGTAGCCAGAAGAGAGGATGTCGAGTGGCCTCACTCTGAACAAACCATAAATGTTTGAGGTGATAGCTATGCTCATTGCCCTGCTGGGATCTTTACACAGTACATCCTGTACTAAAATAGCATGTTCAACACCATAAATCTTAGGTGTTAATGTAAAAATTCTTTTTAAATGAACAAGCAACAACAACAAAAAACCAACCTTCTCACCCCTCTTCCCTCCAGGCCCTGATTACCACTGTTCTACATTGGGGCTCGCAGCCTTTCTGGTTGATTTATTTAAATTAGGCTCCAAACCAGGCAGAATGTGCAGGTCTCCTAAGTATCTTCTAATTCAGAACAAAGCTTTGCCCTTTGTTTCCCACGTGGTAGACTATTGTGATCCCCAGTGGGCATTACTACCTGGGAACTTGCTGGAAATACAAACCTGCAGGCCCCACCCAGCCCTACTGAATGAGACACTCAGGGGGGTGGACCTGGCACTCGGGCTCATCAGCTCTCCTGTGGCTGGGATGCACAGAGCCACAGACAGGCTGCAGAAACTGTCAGTGGCTTGTACAGTCTCAGGTTCGGGATGTGTCTGCTCGCCTCCCTTTTGGTCCTTTTCCAGCCCCCCTCCCCGACACTGAGGATTGAACTCACTCGGGGCTTTGCACTGAGCTATAACCCCAGCCTTGTTATGATTATTTATGTATCTATTTGATATTTCTGTACTGGGGATCTAACCCAGGACCTTCACATTGCATTCAGCCCAGCTCTTTTTATTGCTAAATTGCCCAGGCTGCGCTCTAACTTGCATTCCTCCTGCTTCAGCCTACGAGAGAGCTGGGATTACAGGTGTGCACCACATCATACCCGGTTTCCTCCTCGGTCCTTTAACTCCTTCCTCTAATCTGTTGATCTAAATGCTGTTATGTTTCATATGAGAACTTTCCTGGCAGAGGCCTCATGGTGGTGCTGGATATTTCCTAGTGTGTGGCTTTCAGTGACAACATCAGGTCCACCACTCTTCCCAGGGCTGAACGTCATCTGGACCTGGGGGGGTGACTGGTTCACCACTGCAAAACTTACCAGCTGCCTTCTTTATGGTTTTAGCATTCATTGGTCCTCTTGGCCTGAATTAATTATTGCATGAGGGTGGAAAATGTTGACTTACTCTTTTACTGGCAGAGAATTCTTGCCAAAGGAATTCCTAGCCCTCACTACCCTCTGCTGTCTGGTTTCTGAAACACTCTGTGTGCAGAGCAGGTGTGGTGACAGGATCATGGCCCATTTGATGACAGTACCATGCACTCGACAGTGTTGGGTAGAATGTTCTACAAATATCATGTCAAGTTAGTCAACAGTCTTGTAATGTTGGTTAAATCTTCTATATCCTTATGAGTTTTCTGTCTATGAATTGCTGAGACAGGAAGTATCAAATTTCCAATTATTACTGTAGTTTTAGCTATTTTTGCTTTTAGCGCTGTCGGTTTTTGCGTCACCCAGTTTGGAGGCTGTTATTAGACACATAAATATTTAGACTGTAAGCCCTTTGTCATTAAGAAATGTCCCTCCTCATCCCGTATATGAGTTCTTGTCCAAACCTGCTTTGCTTCAAAGTAATATACACACTTCCGGTTTCTTATGATTAGGGCTTGCATGTGTGTTTTTAAATTTCTTTTACTTTGAACCTGTGTCTTTGTATTTAAAGTTTCTTGTAGACAGTATGCAATTGGGTTTTATCTTTTTTTAATCCAATCTGAAATAATAGTCATGAATCCATCAAATGGCTATTTGCCTTCTCTTTGTCCCACCTGTTCTTTGTCCCTTTTTCCCCTTCCCCCTTTGAGTTGAGTTTCTGTTTTCTTCTGGGACTCTATGTTTACCTCCACTGTCTTATTAGCCATGCTGTTGCTATGTCAATGTGCATCTGTAATTTCTCAGTGTCACCCCATGTCACCGTGATGCAGAACAGTCCCCCTGTATCTGTGGGGTCCATGTCAGTGATCCACCCATCTCAGATAGCAATATCTGTAGTAGGGACATACAGACTTTTTTCTGTCACTGTTCCCTAAATGACACAGTATGACTATGTAGACAGCATTTATGCTCTGTTGTGCAAAGCTTCTAGAGGTGGTCTGAAGTGTGCAGGAGCACATGTGCAGAGCACGTTATCTCACACATGTGACTTGAGGCATCTTGGAGTTGGTACCTGCAGGGATGTGTGTCCACCCTCGTCTCTGTGTTGCCCATTTTGCTTCTACATAAGTTACAGACCTCAAATACATACAGTTGAATATCTCTGAGAGGAATTTACAGAAAGGAAAATGTTTTTTACATTCACCCACACTTGTCATTTCTGACCCTGAGTGCTTTTATGCAGATCTAAGCTTTCATCTGCTCTCATCTCCCTTCTGCCTTGAGAATGTTCCTCAGCCTTGCTTGTCACAAAGGTCGGATGATGACACATGCACTCGGCTTTTCATTGTCTGGGAAAGTGCTGAGTTTTGGCTTCATTTTCTTTAAAGTTTCATCTGGCCTATAATTCTGGGATGAAAAGGTTTCTTCCTCTCCTGTTTTCCTTCTTTCCTTTGTTTCTTTTCTTTCATCACTTTAAAGAATCCATTCCAATGTTTTCTCATCATGTACTTTCTCACAAGAAGTCTGTGATTTTCTAGCTTTGTTCCTTTCCATATATATATATATGTTTAAATCAGGAGTTCACAATGATACTTCCTTTTTTTTTTTTTTTTTTTTGCGGTACCAGGGATCGAACTCATGACCTTGTGCTTGCCAGGCAAGCACTTATGCCGCTGAGCTATATCCCTGGCCCCTCCCACCCCAGTAATCTTGATCTCACTCCCAACAATCAGACTGCTGAATGAAGCCTGGAATTCCCTTTTACCTGTGGAGTTTGTTCCACTAGAACGCAGCATCACAGCATTCTGTCATGGGCTCTTGGATACAACTGTCTGAGTGTGAGTGTGTATGTGTTTACATCACCCACCAGATTGCTAGGTTTCATTTCTTTCAGATCATCTTCAAATCTTAGGGAATCAGCTTTCCTTTTGTTTGATACCATTTACTTGATTCCAGAGTCAAAATTGTATAGGATATACTAAAATATTCTTTATTCCCATCCCTTACTTGTTACTGCCGTTCCTTTTCTGTGCTTATGGGCATTAATCTGATTAGTTTCTGGTTTACCCTTCCAGAGTCCTTTCTGGCCATACACACTCACATGCACACGCATGTCTTCACACCTGTTCACACTGAACCCTTCTCTTACACAAAGGCTGCATGCCCTACACATTCCTCTGTTCACTTTCTCTACAGGTATCTCAGTGTAGGACTCTCCTCTGTCCCCGTCCCTCTCCTCTCCATGATCACCCAGTGCTCCACTGTGTGGCTGGACCCTTGTTTGTCAGCCAGGCCCCTGGTGCCGCTGGTTTCCATCTCCCTGCCCTTCCCACCTTTAGTGCTGCAAGTTCTCACGACGTGAAACCATGAGTAAAGAATATCGATGGTCACACTGGTGTCAGGGGTCAGAGATGGGAGACCTAGAACCCTTGGCTATACGGTACCTGCCAAGTACTGGCAGATGAGGTTCTTCTCAGGATGTGACATGCTCCTTGCTGACGCCTGGTTTGCTTTTCCTGTCAATGCAGATCTGGAAAAACTTGCCACACCTGAAGGCAGTGGTGATATACCAGGAACCTCCTCCCACGAAGATGGCCAATGTGTACACGGTAGGGGGGGTGGTTAGGCCCTGGGTGAAGAAGGGCCATCTAGGCCCACCTGCTGATAGTACTGGCCATGTCCTTAATCTGGCTGCAGATGGAAGAACTCATGGAGCTGGGAAACCAAGTCCCCGAAGAGACCCTGGACAGCATCATCGAGGCCCAGACACCCAACCAATGCTGCGCCCTGGTCTACACGTCGGGCACCACCGGGAACCCCAAGGGTGTGATGTTGAGCCAAGACAATGTAGGCTGATGTCCAGACAGGTTGCTGGGTGGATGAGACCCAAGCTCCCTCTCGGGAAGGCCCTGGCCCAGCCTAGCCCAGTGAAGGGAAGGGAAGAGAGCTCAGGGGGTCCCATCTTGGGGGATTTCAGGCCTTTGAGCTACCCACTCAGAGTAGCCCCAGATGCCAGGATGACCATGGTGGTCAGCATGGCCAGGGATGGTAATGATCCTGGGGGCCCTGTCTGCCCCTAGATCACGTGGACAGCACGGTTTGGCAGCCAGGCGGGTGACATCCAACCAGCTGAGGTCCAACAGGAGGTGGTGGTCAGCTACCTGCCCCTCAGCCACATTGCTGCCCAGATCTACGACCTGTGGACTGGCATCCAGTGGGGGGCCCAGGTGTGCTTTGCAGAGCCTGATGCCCTGAAGGTCAGTGTGCCCTGCCACATGGGTGTATGGGGGAGTAGGCTCTGCAGGGTGTGGCTTGCACCTGTGCCCTGCTGTGCACCTGTGGGTGGCACCAATCAGACAGAATGTGTCAGCTCTCACTGTACAGTTTGATGCAAACAACCAAACGCACAAGGAAACTGAGGACATTAAATTGAGTTGAGTCACAGTGCCTCAAGCATGACCCGTTTAGAGGACACTCATAAATGGTCACCAGATGACTGCAGCCCTCCCCACATCCCAACCTCCTTATTTGAGCCACTGGGGAAATCTGCCAGCACTGCTAGGTTTCTCTGACCTGGCATCTCATGGCCGCAACAGAGTCATTTGTCTGTTCCTAAAGCAAGCACTGTGTGGGGAAACAGGGCTGTCCTGTTACAGTAGCGAAGGAAGAGTATCTACCCTAACAGCTGCAAGGAGACTGAGCTGTTTCTAAAGTTCCCAGCCCCCTGGCACCTAGACAACACCCAGATCCTATCTGCAAAGGGTGGAGGGTGGGTAGCAGTGAAGCCTCAGGCAGCGGCATGCAGCCTTGTCCCAGCCTCCATGAGCAGTGGGTGTGCCGGGCATACCTGGCCAGATGAGGGGCTTCCGGATCTCCTCACCAGACCTCTCTGTGGAGACAGGGGAGCTTGGTGAACACACTGCGTGAGGTAGAACCCACATCCCACATGGGTGTGCCACGTGTGTGGGAGAAGATCATGGAGCGCATTCAGGAGGTGGCCGCTCAAGCTGGCTTCATCCGGCGCAAGATGCTGCTGTGGGCCATGTCAGTGACCTTGGAGCAGAACCTCACCTGCCCCAGCAGGTATGGGAGCCTGGGGGTGAGAGGCAGGGGCAGCCGGCTTCCTGGGAACATGGGGCACAGTTCCTGTTGGCGCATCTGTTCTGGCCCTGTGGAGAGGTCCTGTCCATAGCTGTCCATGTCTCCACTCACCACAGCCTGGGGGAGACCTTGGCATCACTAAGTTCAGGCTGGGAGGACTGAAGCACTTCCTCAGGAGGGGAATGCATCTCCTGAGGAGCAGCCCCGAAGTCTCCCATGGGTCCCGTTGTCTATATGGCCTAGGTGACTGGGTGTCCACCTTCTCAGCCCTCCTGCCTCTCACACTATGGCTCACACCTCTCCCTGCCCCTTTTGATTGCCTGTCAAGTTCCCACCCAGTGCTGGGCGGCTCAGTGATGTGGATCTGGACGGGTTTCAATTACAAAATAGTTTCTGTGACCAGACTCTGAAACAGCATTCTGTTCCATGAACCAGGGAGGCGTCTGTACACCTCCAGCTTCATGCACACAAAGTGAAGCGTGACTATGTATGAACCCAGCGTTTGCAGGCTTCAAATGGGATTACACGTATGTGCCCATGTGAGTCCATGCATATACATTCCAAGTCTCTGCATGTATGTATGGCATGTGCACAATCTGCATGCATCTACGCACAGCTGGATCTACCCGACCCTCTGGCTCATGGCACACTTGCTCACAGTCACATGCATGTACACCAGTATTAACATGCATGTTCATGGCACCAACCAATCAGAACAGACCAGTCAGAATCTGGGAGGGGTGTGGCTCAGTGGTAGAGCACACAATCAGCATGAGCAAGACCCCGGGTTCAAGCTCCAGCACCAAAAAGAAAAAAAAAAGCATAGACCGCCAGAATGGCTGTGTCGATGTGTCCCACAGAACACCCACTCTTCTTGTGTGTTTCCTTCCTTCTGTGGACCTCACTCCTCTCCCACAGTGATCTGAAGCCCTTCACAGCCAGGCTGGCAGATTACCTGGTGCTGGCCAGGGTCCGCCAGGCACTGGGCTTTGCCAAGTGCCAGAAGAACTTCTATGGAGCAGCCCCCATGACGGCTGAGACACAACGCTTCTTCCTGGGTCTCAATATCCGCTTATATGCGGGCTATGGCCTCAGCGAGAGCACAGGTCCCCACTTCATGTCCAACCCCTACAACTACCGGCTCTACAGGTAAGGCATGGCCTGCACATCCTGCTGATACCCCTGCTTCTCTGTCCATACTGCAAACCCGACCATGGGGCTCTGGGCCACCAAGTTCCAACACTGATCCTGGGCTAAGCCCCTGCTCATCCTCCTTGGCCATCGGGTGGTCTTCGCTATGTGAGGCATGGCTGAAACAGCCCTAACACCCCAGGTGCCCAGCACCGTCCTCTCTGTAGGGTGCGTCAAATCCAAGGGTGACCCAGAAGGCTGCGGTTGGGGTGGGAGTGAGAAGACAGGGCCATCCTTCCAAGGGGCAAGAAAGAGTGGGTTCTGCACATGACCCGAAGTGTCGTCTGCTATGTTTCCATTCCCCTCTCCCTGCCAGCCCAACCTAAGCTGCAAGTTCTCGCATTCACATTTCATCCATTCATTCATTCAGTCACCAAAAAAAACTTTAACCCCACCTTTCCACTCTAAGTCCCCCATTGTAGACAGAAACCCTAGAAAAAGTGCCCTGGTTATCAGTGAAGACAGAGATTGGGGCCTGGGGTTCTCAGAGCAGCTGATCCCAGGCTCCTCCCTCCCCCACCCTTCATCCCAGCTCAGGCAAGCTGGTGCCCGGCTGCCTGGTGAAGCTAGTGAACCAAGACACGGAGGGTATCGGCGAGATCTGCCTATGGGGCCGCACCATCTTCATGGGCTACCTGAACATGGAGGACAAGACATGTGAGGCCATTGACTCTGAGGGCTGGCTACACACGGGTGACACAGGCCGCCTGGACCAGGATGGCTTCCTCTACATCACAGGGCGCCTCAAAGGTAAGTACCCTGCATCCAGTGGGTACCAGGAGGGGTCCACTCCCAGTACAGTGGCACCTGAGACCAGAACATGGCCTTTCTGGGTACCTCCCGCCTTTGCTCGGCCCACTTCTTGCAGGCAGGAGCTGTTATCACCCCTATTGGGGCCACAGGGAGGTGAAATGGCTCACCAAGGTCACCTAGGGTGTGGATGATGGGACTGGGAGTCACATCCCCTAGAGAAACAAGGTAGGGTGTCCTGTAAGATCCAAGGGTATAAACATGAGGTTTCTCTGCAGACACGGGTGGGGTGGAGAGCAGGATATGAACTGGACATAAACTTTAGAATAAAACATGAAACTTCAAGGACATTTCCCAGGGAGAAAGGGAAGCAAGTTGGGGAGACCTCTGAGGAAAAATATTTTACTTCCTTTACACAAGTGAGTGCAACATGGGTGCATGTGCGTACATGCCCACATGCGTCCAACACACACATACACATGCACACACATATGTACATTTCACAGAAGAAACTGAATCTTGGTGAGTGGGTTCACAACTTCCTGGAAATCACACAAACGGGTGTTTCATTAGGTCTAGGTTCTAAATGATGGAGGCGTGGATCCCAGGGAAGGACGGGACAGCCGCTATTTGGGCCCCAGGTTATGCAAGTTTCAGACTTCTGGGTGGTGAGACCCCGTGTTGCCGCATACACCACCTGGTGCTGGCCTTTTGAAACAGCAAGCAAATGACCCCATTTCTTTGCCAGGTGAAGTAGCCAGAAAACAGAATTCAACCAGAGCTGGCCCTGCTTTTAGAAATAGGGTGCAAACATCATTACCAAATACATATTCAGTTGGCCCAATATTGCTTCTAGAAAAGACCATCATCTTCCTACAGTACCACCTTTTCCTTTGTCAAGCAGTTGTCTAGGAGAGATCTATCTTTGGACTATTCTGTTCCATTGATCTATTTTCTGGCCTTTGTGCTAATTTCTCAGGCTCTTATTTTCTTTCTTTCTTTCTTTCTTTCTTTCTTTCTTTCTTTCTTTCTTTCTTTCTTTCTTTTCTTTCTTCCTTCCTTCCTTCCTTCCTTTCTTCCTTCCTTCATCTCTCTCTCTCTCTCTCTTTCTCTCTTTCTCTCTTTCTCTCTCTCTCTCTCTCTCTCTCTTTCTCTCTCTCTCTCTCTTTTTCTCTCTCTGTCTTTTCCTTGGTCTTTTTGAGACAGGGTCTCACTCTGTAGTTCAGAGGGGCCTCGAACTCACTTTGTAGCCCAGGCTGGCCACAAATTCCCATTGATCCTTCTGCCTCAGCCTCCTGAGTGCTGGGGTTATAGCCATCATGCCTGGCTACTAGGGATCTTAATTTCTGTAACTTTATGGTAGAGCTGCTGTTATAGTCCCAGGTCGAGCATGTCCTAAAACCTTGATTATTAGGGACCTGGCCAAGATCCCAAACTGCTTGTATGAGGGGTATGGTTAAAAGATTAAATAAGAAACAGACAAATTTAGTAATGCATGAAGAGGGGCTGGGAGGACAGTGCCTCAGGATGGACAGAGACCGAGACACTCCAAGGCATCTACTAGTTCTTGGGTGTATACAGTGATAGGAGGGATTAGCGGAAGATGCAAGGTTGATACTTAGGGGGCAACAATGGACAACTTGGGATGACTCCAGAGAGCAGAGATGATTTTATGCTAAGAAGGATCTCGCAATGTAATTTTTTAAAATCTTAGTGGTCTTAGTGGGTGGAGAGGATGGCCTGTCTCTAAAGAGATAATGGAAAATCTCGAAAGGGTAATACCGATAATCCCAAGCCTCCATTTATCCCTTAGGGAGGTATGCAAAATTAGCCATTATGAGTTTGTGGTCCCCAACACTTGATCCCAAACCATCCCCAGCCCCAGGAAAGCTCCAGGTGCCAGTCCTTTCTATCTCTTTTAACACTACCTGCAACCCCAAAGGCTGTGTGTCTGCTCACATCCACCTCTGCCTGCCAAATCCACTCCTACCCAGCATCCATTGGGGCTGGTGCCCCTTGCCTCACAGTGCCTGTTCACCCCTTGTCTTGCTGTCCCATGAGGTTGGCAGAGAGCCAGACACAGGGGGTGCAAGTGAGCTTTGTTGACTCAGACAGGTAGGGGTGGAGTACAGTCTCACTCCAGTCAGCCAGACCATCTTCACAGACTTTTCACCCAAAGACCAGTTAGCGCATTGAGCGCCTTGCACACAGAGACACCTCAGCTTTTTTTTCTTCTTAATTTTTAAAATTTTGTATTAGTCCACGTTTGCAACACATGGTTACATTCACCAAGGGGAGCTGGTGTGTGTCCATAACGCATCTCAGCTCTTTGCATGTCCCCTCCCCTCCCTTCCCTCTGTCAGGATGAAAGGCGACCCATGGGTAAGTAGAAAAAAGCTATGAGAAAAGCTCAAGGAGGGAGAGGTTGGTGTGGATTGAGGGTGGAGGAGTGGACCGTGCAGAACAGGCTGTCTGTGGAAAGATGGGAAGAAAGGGACGGGGCACACCCATGGGAAGGACACCAGCACCATAAGAGGCACTGGCCTGGTGGCTCTGGAACTGGACTGGGCTTAAACCTTAGCTCTGCTACTTACTTGCGTGTGACCTTGGACATTGCTGATCCTCCCTGTGTCTGTTTCCTCATCTGCAAAATGATAAGAGAGCTGGCTTGTTCTTTTTGCTGGGCATGGTGTAAAAGCTCTGTGAATAGGGGGTCAGGGTCAAATCAGAAGCAACACTTGCTATGGGAGTGGGAGGGCACCGCAGAAGGAGCCAGGGCTGGACTTCTGGGTGGCAGTGTCCTCAGAGGCACCCTGGTCTCTGCGAGTGTGAGAGGCCTCCCCAGGCACTGCCTGTGCTCAGGGCACCCAAGCTGGGGATGAGGCCAGGCCGTGCTCAGCCAGCACCTGGTCTACACCAAGAGGGACGGGCCTTCCTTCCCCAGAGCTGATCATCACGGCGGGTGGGGAAAATGTGCCCCCCCTGCCTATTGAGGAGGCTGTGAAGACGGAGCTGCCCATCATCAGCAACGCCATGCTGATCGGTGACCAGAGGAAGTTCTTGTCCATGCTACTCACCTTGAAGGTGTGTGGGGTGCTGGGTCTGAGGGGAGGGGTTGCGGCCTGACAGAAGCTCTGCAACCCAGGGCTCAACCGGCTTGATTCTGAGTGCAATTATAGCACAGGGAAAGTCCTCTGTTCCCAACAGGCCACTGAGGTGAGGCGTCCCCTCCCCCAGCAGGAACTCAGGTCCCAGGGTTGTAGATAGGCAGGAACAAGGCCCCTTTTTCCAGATGATGACGTCACTGACTGAGGGCTCAACATGGTGGCACTGTTCATTCTAGGACCCTCCCTGAAGCAGCCCACCATTACTAGCACCTCGCTGTCTGCTTCCTGCAGAGCGGGGCTGGGGCTCACCTGTCTTCTGGCTTTTCAGTGCACGCTGGACCCAGACACCTCTGACCCAACCGACAACCTAACAGAGCAAGCTGTGGAGTTCTGCCAGAGGGTGGGCAGCAGAGCCAGCACTGTGTCTGAGATCGTGGGCCAGCGGGATGAAGCTGTGTATCAGGCCATCGAAGAGGGGATCCAGAGGGTCAATGCAAATGCGGCCGCCCGGCCTTATCACATCCAGAAGTGGGCCATTCTTGAGAGAGACTTCTCCATCTCAGGAGGAGAGTTGGGTAGGTTTCACTGTCCTAGGGGCTGTGGGAAGCAGAGGCCACAAGGTGTCAGGTAGGAGTTCACGAGGAAGCAGTCATAGCTGGCAAAGGTCTGGGATGGATCTTTCGATGGCAGTCACATATCTTCCTGTGGGAGGACACTGACCACCAAGAGTGTGGGTTTGTGGTTGTGCAGAGCCTGGGGAATATAAAGTTGACCCTCTGTAGCTGTGGGTTCCACACAAGTGGATGCAACAACTATACATGGAAACTATTTGGGAAAAAAATGCTCCTCCTGTACTGAACATGTAGACCATGTTCTAGTGGTTATTCCCTAAACAGCACAAAGAGCAACTATTTATATAGCATTTCCATTGTGTTGGTGATGGTATTATAAGTAAAGATGATTCAAGGTACTTGGAGGATATGCCTAGGTTATATTCAACTATTCTGTTTTATGTAGGCATTTGAGCATTGTGGGCTTTGATGTCTAGGGTGGAGGATCCTGGAACAAATTCCCCAGGAATACAGTCACAGGGGTGACTGTATAGGATATGTGCCAGGACTTATTAATTTTAACATAGCCCTTGGTTTTGCCTTGAGTATGGGACTGATGTCCCTTTCAAATCCCAATAGACCCACCAGGCAATTCCTGGCCCTGCTGGTGTTCAGACTGGTGTTGCCAGGCCATCGAGGACACTGCTGTCATCTGCAGTCAGCTCACGTGATGGGTTAAGGGATGATACTGTCTGGATCATAATGCAGGGTCAGAGAAGCCTGAGGTGCATCCTCAGCTGGCCAGTGGAAGCTGCTCCTGATTGGGCATCTTGGGGTGCTCATGGCACATGGCCCCCCTCAATGCCAGCAGGTTAAACTCAGTGGGACCAGCTTCAGCAATACTGAGTGGTAGTTGGAGGCCTCAACATCTCGTTGTCTGGGGTTGACAAACTAAACATGAGGTAAAGCACATCCAAGATGTCCTCCCTCAGCAAATGATGATGTTGAAGCTTCCAGTTACACAGTCAGGGGTGACATAGACTACCAGGACCTCAGCATGCTTCAGGTGGGAAAAACCAAAGCCGAGAAAAGTGACTGAGGGAGGAGGTCTCACTAACATCTTGACAGGGGCTCCACACCCCATCATAGTGCACTAGAGCTATCCCCAAAACACAGAGGTCATTAGAGCATTAGCTATCTGTTACTGTGTAACAATCGCCCCCTAGTGGAGCAATAAATACTTGTCTTCATTTCAGAGGGTCTGGGAGCCCCACATCTCAGCTGTGGTTCTGACTGGAATCTTTCCTGAAGTCACTGTGAGCCAGGGGCCATCACCCAGAACTGGAAGCTGCAGTGCTCCTGTCATGTGATTGTGGGTGCCTCGATTCCTTGCCAGCTGTGAGACAGACCTATTCTGGCCTCGGGGCCTCTCCATGGGCCGCCATAATGCCACATAATATGGCAGCCGACCGGTCCCAGGGAGATGACCTCTAAGAGCCTAAGGCAGAAGCTATAAGAGTGTTTATTTTCATTTTTGGAGTAGTTTACAGGTCCTCTCTATCTGCATGTTCCACACCCACAAAAGACAACCAGCCTTAGATTGAAAATATTTTTTTAAATGAATTGGTATTAAACATGTACAGAATTTTCCTTGCCATCATTCCCTAAACAGTAACAGTGCATCTATTCACATTGCATTTACTTGGCATTGTAAGTAACCTGGAGATTATTTAAAGAATATGGGACAAAAAAATAAATAAATGAATGAATAAATAAATAAAGCAAGTATATGGGAGAAGCAAGGCATGGTAGTGAATACCCATAATCACAGCACTATGGGCTGGGGATATAGCTCAGTGGCATAACTGCCTGCCTGGCAAGTGCAAGGTCATGAGTTTAATCCCCAGTACTGAAAAAAAAAAAAATGATGTTTGTCAGTGCTCTAGGACACTGAGGCAGGATGATCATAAGTTTTAGTCCAGCCTGAGCTACTTATCAGTTTAGCAAAATCCTGTCTCAAATACTAAAAAAAAATAAAATAAAATTGAGGGGAGGCAAGGATATACAGTGGTGCCTGGGTTCACAAACTTAATTATTTCCACAGTTCTGGTTGCAAACCAAATTGGACAAGGACTGAATCAAGGTCTACACAGAACCTAACCATTGAATTTGATTTGCTTCTGGCCCAATTTGGTTTGCGACCAGAAATGCGGAAAGAATTAAGTTCATGAACCAACACACTGCTGTAGCTCTGTGAGCCCCCAGGTTCAATCTCTAGTACCAGGGTGGAGGACATGCCTGGGTTATACACAAATACTATGCCATTTCATTTTTTTTTTTTAAGTAGGAAGAATAATTTTTTGAGGGAAAGAAAGCTTCTAAGAGGGACAGAAGGGGGCTCAGCAAGTGCGTTGCCATTTTATGTAAGGACTCGAGCACTTTCAGATCTAGGCATCTCCTGGGCCGCAATCCCCAGTGGATCCTGGGAGACAAGTGTATTCATTCAAGGGACAGAATCCAAGTGAGCAGAGGGTCAGGCATGGGCACAGGTCACAGGCAAGACGGCCACGGTTCACATTGCCTCCCCATCCACTGGGAAGAAACTACAGTCATTTCTGACCTATGCATTGCTGTTGGTCACAAACCAGCCCTGGCCACTGCAGAAGCCTCCTCAGGGTGTGATGCCCAGAGGCTTGGGTCTGAGAGGCTGGCACCTTGCTCTGCCTTTCTCGCCTGGCCCACTCCTGAGTCTGCTTCTTTGCACCTCTCAGAATCTGCAGAGCCTGGGCCTCACTTGCTTCTTCCCGCTTCTCTTTTAGGTCCCACCATGAAACTCAAGCGGCTCACAGTCCTGGAGAAGTACAAAGATATCATTGATTCCTTTTACCAAGAACAAAAGAAGTAACTGGGGCCATCCCTGTGATTCCCAATGAGAAGAGAAAGCAGCCTCTGCCTGCAGAGGTGTCTCCGAGTTCCAGGCTCTCCCGTGTGGCCGCAGAAACTCAGGTCTGTCTGGCTTCCAGGCCAGAGTTCGACTCCCACATCTACAACTCCAAGAAGCTCCATATGCGGGTAGTTTAAATTCTGCTTAAGTGTTCAGGTGATGAAATCAACTCTTCTTTCACAACTAAAGGGTTGATACTGCTCGGCCCTAACTCCAGGGAGACTTACCAAGCCATAGCTCAACAGTTCACCAGAGGCCGGGGTGGGGGGTGGGGAGTCATCTTACTAGTTTGTGCTGCAGGTAAAGCCATCTAGCTTACTTAACGGCCAGACTTTGGAATCTTCTTGGATACTGCCTAATAAAACTGCTGCTCTCATGTGACTGTATTTAATATGTAATATGAATATTAAACTTTTAACATAACTGTCAGTACCTGGTTTTTGTGTCAGTTGAGCAAGCAGGGCATAGGGCAGTGAGTACTTAGCCTGTGGGACAGTGCATCTGGCATGAGTGACCATTTGCACACTGTTAGTGCCAGGAAGCATGGGTCAGTAGGGTGATGTAGTAACTAGAGCCCATTCTGGCATCCGCGCATTACCACCAGGCCATCCTCCTACTCTGTCTTCTGTGAGTGGTCATTCTTAGCAATAAGCTGAGCCGAATTGCCCCAAGGCACCTGACCAGGAAAGGCAGAAGGCGTACATCTTGGTTGTTTTGGAATTCTTTATTTCTGTGAACCAAGAGCCACTGGTAATTAGCACAATCTAATAAAACAAAGGAAGCAGCAGCATAAACAAAATAAAATACACGTAAGGATTGCTGGTCTGGTTACAAACTTAAAAGATGACCCACACGAGGGTATCTGTTAAGAAATCCCCTTGTGATCTGAGGACATTATGCAAAGCCACAGGTTTGCAAATTGACAGGGGCAAGGGAAGACACATTGCCTTTAATATGGGGCCAAAGTGCATCTGCTCATGCTGCAGCCAGGGCAAGGGTGTGGGGACAGGGGAGCTGAAAGTCACAGCCTGAGAAGATGGGGCTGTGGGGTGAACTGTTTCATGAGTCCACTCCCTCTGCAGTCACACCTTAGGCAGAGGGCAGGGACTGGCTGAAGCGCACAATGATTTGGAGGCAAAGGGGCTAAGTCAATAGCCAGCACCCTGGTTCCTCAACTACAGCTGAAACACCAGGGACCAGACCTTGAGCAGTGCTGCCTGGGAGTAGCAGCAAATGGAGCCACCTCCCTGCACTGATGGTAGAGGGAATGTGACAGGGTTGGCTCCTGGCCCAGCTCAGGTAGCACAGGGCTGGGGGCCTTGATGACATGGGACAGCGACAGTGTATCCAGGGTGAAGGTGGCACCCCCCAGGGCTTCACCAGGAGCCGGAGTGTTGAACTTCAAAGTAAAATCATTAAATACAAGATACATGTGGGACTTTGTATATAATATATTATCTGTATGTTAACAAAATTATATTGCTCGTTATGTTTCTTGGATCTGAAATTTTTATTCATAATAATTCATGTAAAGGAAGCATCTGCCTTTATTTTCCATGTCGCTAAGAAATATACCATTTTTGCTGTTTTAGACGTGAACTTTCCCAGGAAATTTCTCCTGTGCCCATTTAAGCTTTATAAGAATGTCCTCTTGTGCTATTATATCAATGTCCTGTTTTATTTCCATTATGTTTCTCATAAACCAAAGAAAGATAGGACTTTTGTTTAAAAAGTTACATGTTTTCTCTTATTAATTGTGTATCATAATATTTACAGCTGAGGAAAAATTATTTAAACTAAAGTATAAAATGGTTAACAATGGCAAATGATACAGTCCACTTGGAGTTTACAAAACAATGTTTACCAGACAGACATTTAATAAATAAAACAAGCACTCGGAAAAAGTCCTTTGAAAGCAGGTCAGAGACACCCCCTGCATCCTTTGCACAGACTGGTTAAAAAAAGGCCAGATTTTAAAATGTGCTGTCAAGAAACAAGCAAACCAAATGCACACAGAATGGCAGGTGCCTACGGAGAGGTTTACAAGGCGGCGTCCGTTAGGAGTGATTGCAGCATACACCACTGGTGACCGTTAATCTAAATCTTTCACTCGGCGACAGATTTCTTCTGTGAAGTCTGAGCACTTTGAACTGCCTCCCAAATCTTTCGTTAAACTCTGGGAAAAGAAAACAGCAAGAATAAATAAGGACCCTCACTCTGAACTAAAGCAAGGATACTGTCGTTCAGAGCCTTCAGTGAGATGTGAGCTGAGCAAGGAGCTTGCCTGCTCCAAATTTCACTTAGCTCCTCTTTTCAGAGTTAGGCTCCCACATACCATCTACTCCCCAGGAGGACTTACAGGGAGTCCGTAAGAACACTCAGAAACACAGATGCTCCTGCTATGAAAGGCAGCACCCAAATTTCTCCTTTGTTCATACATAAGTCCCTCAGAAAATGCTGTCTGATGATGCATATTTAAATAAAAGAAGCCAGGCATGGTGGGGCATACCTATAATCCCAACACTTGGGATGCTGAATCAGAAGCATCGCTGTGAGTTCGAGGCAAGCCTGGGCTACAAAGTGAGTTCAAGGCCAGCCTGAACTGCATAATGAAACCCTGCCTCAAAAAGATAGATAGATAGATAGATAGATAGATAGATAGATAGATAGATAGATAAATAAATAAAAGAAAAACTAAACGAGAGGTTTTACAAAGTCCATGGGAAATTTTTGAAGCTTAAAAAGCTTAAGACATACTCTGATCTATGGCACAGCACCTACCTGGC